ACCTCAAAAGACTTTGGGTTTTATGTCGTAAGTCTTTTCAGAACTTCGACGAAGAAATGTTTAGGGTATTAAACCGAACTTTCGTCAGACTGCATTTGAAATATGGGATTCAAGCAGCGAGTCTTTGTTTCATATATGGAGCGAATATACTAGAACAAAATCAACGACGAGTAACCAAAATGGTAAAGAGTCTCCCCTGTGTATCCCGTGAAAACAGGTCGCGATACAGTCTTCAGTAATAAGGGTAAGAGGTCTATCGACCTGTATTAATCCTTGCAGTTTGTAATACTGTGGAGGTTCAATCTCGTTTGGAATATATTGACAGAAGGTGCTGATATTACGTGTTCCGGCAAAAAAATTCCAGTTATTCACTACCGGTGCGAGAATCGAAACTCCAGACGTTAACGATTCGATCTCGGTATTTGAACTTTCTTCGAATGTCCTTGTGGAATTATGGTCTACTATGATATTAGTACTGCTCTAATTATATACCTTATCCTAAAATTGTAGATTTGTCATGATATAACTGCCTAATCTATAAGATCTTACGTGGAAGTCACATCATCGTCTAAACCAATTCACTGTATCGTAATAATCACCAATACTTGATGAAGAACAAGCTTAGGCTAGAGAAGAACCTATCCTTGACCATCAGTCGCACATTTGCAACGCAACTTTCATGAAGCGCGCCAACTGTGGTATTGATTAAAACCATCTACATTCATATCTTATAAATTATCAACCCAGCTATGTAATTTATTACATTGTATATTGTATCATTTGTATCAATTTGATCTTGCCTGTAAACTGGCATGCCTCATGTAACAAACTGTTATTTGAGAATAAATTATTACTATTATTAACAATATATTTAATATGAATAAAAGATATAAGGTAATATTCAGAGGGGACTACGCCTGCATGACCGAGCCATTTCATTTGATCAACTCCAATTCATTCAATTCATTATTCGCGCCTTCCCCAGCGTTAAATATTGAATACCTATTTTCCGAGTAATCTCTTATTCAGCTTTGAGGATACTGTGGTTATGGTCCAATGCCACTACATCCTCTCAAATGATCAGTCTTAAACGGAATTAAAAGATAAGACATCCTAATACCAAGTTCATCGTTCAGTATACGATAAGCCAGTATTAGGTCACCTCGTACCCTGCGGTAAGATAACGGAAATAAGTTAATGTGTCTCACTCTATCTTCATAAGATAGGCTTATAGACCTTATACCACCTTAGTACCTCATCTTTGGAATCTTTCCAGCATATCTGCTTCATACTTGAAACAAGTACTCGCTGCTTGAAGCCATATTCTAAATGTGGTCACACATAAATCAGGTATAATAATCTAAGCATTTCATCATCTAAATATTGGAAAGATCTACGAATAGACCATAATACCCTATAGCCTTTCGCACCAACAACCTTACAGTGACTAGTGGCTTTGAGGTCACTGCTTAATATGACTCCTAAATCTCTATAGTTTCTTACTTTGGGTAGCACGAATCCATACATTGTGTAGTGATACGATTCACCATAGTTATTTACTTGCAGCAACCCAAACTTCTGTTGCATTTAGAAGATTTGTCAAGCATGATAGGTCTCTAAGAAAACCATGTTTTTCCCTGTAGAAAATATTATGCCCTTCAACATAATTTATAACAGATATCCGAATGATTTTTCCCATCAGTTTTACAACTGCACTAGTTAAGCTAACGGGCCCGTAGTTACTAACCAAATCCGTAACCCCAGCCTTATACACCAGACTTAGTATGACGTCTTTCCAGTCTCTAGGAAATCTGGACTGTTTCAGAGACATGTCGAATAGTATTGCTAATGGTTCAGCAATTTCATCTGATATGGCTTTCATAATCCTAGGATGAATATCGTCAGGACCACTGGACTTATCAGGTTTGATATGCTGAAGTAGTCTTAAAACTACCTTTCTCAATGACTACAGGATCCATCAGCGAGCCGTCACGTTTGCAATGAATCATTGGTCGTTCCTCATTACCGATAGAAAACACTTTACTAAAATATTCCGATAAAGCTTCAGCTCTTTCGGTATTATCTTCTGCCAAGATTAACAGATTTTCTTGTATCAAAAGTGATAGAATTCCATAGCTTCTCTGAGTTCGCCTTTTTAAATACGAGAATAACCGTTTTGGTCTATATCTAGAATCCCTAACCAATTGTTTTTCATATGATCGTCTAGTCTTACTTATTAACGCTTTACAGGCATTCATAATCTTACAATAACTGGATCTCTATTGTTCTAAGCCAATAGAGATGAACATATTCCAGTGCTTCTTCCTTCTTCTAAGAAGTTTCCTGACTGTTTTATTTATCCATGGTGGACTGTTATTTGGTCTTCGCGGTACCAGGTATGGTATGAACGAGGACGTAACTAAACTAAACTTACCTTTAAATACAGACCATGCCTCTTCAGCTGATAAGCTTGTATCTACAAACCAATCTGTCTGATCAGCGCATTCCTGAATGGCTGATATGTTAACTTTCCATACATTTGGGTGGGGTGTAACCTGATCTTATAACATGTCCCTAGTTCTAAACGTGAGTGACAAAACAGCGTGATCACTTTCACTAACGGTGGAAGAATATTTAGGTCGACGATATACTCAGTATCATGAGTGATTGACAAGTCCAACAGAGAAGAAACTTGGTTAGCACCAAAATGTGTGGGTTTGGATATATGCTGCACTAGTGCATGCTCCATTATTTTTTTAACAGAAAAATACTATCAAAGGAGTTTATAGATCCTTCCATGGTCATCTCAGTCCAACTAATATCAGGTGCATTAACGTCCCCTATTATCAAGCATCTGGTATTTGCACTCCAAAGATGAATGTGCTGTAAAACACAGTCATCAGCTAAGCAGATCGAGCTGCGATAGATGACACCGAGCATAAATGTACCATATCCGAAAGCCAATTTGCAGCTAATGACTTCACAAGTACCGCTGTCATGGGGTTCGCTAGCAGAGGAGCGTATATTTATATTATTGACTATATATAACAGGACGCCACCTCCTTTTCTACATCTACGTCTATCACTCCTTAGGTAATGGTATCCGAATAATTCGGGTGTAATGTCTAAGTCATGGAATAACCAAGTTTTTGTCACTGCTACAATGAGTGGTTTTAATCTGTCCACTATTGTTTCTAGTTCATATAACTTATTTCTTAGACTACGAGCATTGGCATATAAAACTCCTAATTAGAACGGCCTATCCACATAGGTCTTGGTAGCATTCGCTTCCAAGACATGACTATCCAAAAACCACTAGCCGGAAATTTTTCTCACCGTTTTGCCGATGGGTTTCTAGTTCAGCTAATGCATTCTTCCTTTTTATTCCATCTTCAAGAGACATATGAGGTCTAACTCGGATGTCGGAATAGTAGTGACAACGAGCGCTACTTAACAGGAGATCCCGCTGCTTCTTCAATCCTAGGATTACCTCAAGGAGTTTGCTTGGTCGTGGTTCAACATTGTCCTCTATCCTCTTGCCTATTCCAACCAGTTTTTTGACCTCAACTCCTTTAGAGGTATCTGGTAAGATACTACGAATATATTCTCCCAGCTTCTCTAAGTCATGCGTGTGACTTATTTCCCTTACCTTACCGCAGATTTTTGGGTGACCTACCATTGGATTATCGCGTACTGAAAGATACTTTACCTTGTCCCTCTATCTGGGACTGATCATTTGAGAGTTACCTGTAGACGTAGACTTCATTGATTTCAGCAAAGCTTTTGACGACTTTCCGCACAACCGGCTGCTATATAAGCTAAGAAATGTCAGAATTGGAGTCAATCTATTGATGTGGATGAAAGACTTCCTACTTGGGCGCCAACAAAGAGTAAGGGCGAACTGTGCTTAGTGGAGTGCCCCAGGGTGCAGTTTTGGGGCCAGTGCTATTCCTCTTTCATGTAAATGACCCTCCTCGTCTCCTATTATCAACGGTCTTGTTATATGCTGATGATGTCAACGTACAGAGAGCGATAAGAAGTATGATAGCTTAGGAATCTAAAATGACCTGGAGAAATTATCTGAATGGTCTTGAACCTAGCAGTTGCCGATAAATACTTCCAAGTGTGTTGTGATGCATATCAGTCATCAAGGTACAGATACATACACGATGAATAACACTGAGTTACCTGTCGTCCAGACATATAATGACTTAGGAGTCTTCGTCAGCCAAGACATAAAGACCTCTGCACACTGCCGTACAATAGCCGCCAAAGGTTTTAGAACCTTACGGTCAATACGTAGGGCTTTTAGTCATGTCGACACTAAGACGTTTTTGACTTCGTATACAGTATTCGTACGTCCTTAACTTGAGTACTGAAAACAAGCTGCTGCCTCTGCCTGAAAAAAGACAGTGAGCTTTTGGAAAAGGTTCAGAGAACAGCAACCAAGTTGATTCCCGGAATAGCGAAGCTTCCGTATGATGCTCGACTGGCCAGACTAAACATTTTCCTGTTGTCATATCGCAGAACTAGAGGCGACTTGATTACAGTTTTCAAATTACTTAGTGATAAATTTGCACTTGATATGCCTTCATTTTTCTTGTCTTCCGAAACAGAGAATTTACGAGGACACTCCAGAATGTTCACAAGCTCAGAACAAATTACTTGTCAGCTGACTATCGACTTTCCCATCGAATCATCAACGAGTGGAATTCATTAACTCAGCGCGTGGTTGAGTCTCCATCTTTCGATTCTTTCAAAAGAAAGTTGGATCAACTGAGTGACCACCATTGCCAGGACTAATACAGGCCATCAAGCTCCCTGTCCTTTCCAAACTGAAACTGATCGTTTACGTCTTGAGTTCCGTTCCCCACATCACGCAGAGAATTACCATAATTCTCCACAAGAACACGTAGTATTGGCACCTCCTGGCAATACTTTCGAAACGAGATCGAATTTGCTCAGTGTGACGAACTGTAAGGATTAATATAAATCGATAGACCGCCTGTCCTGTATGGCGCGCATTTGGTCCTCTGCGTTACACTTGCTCAAAAGCGTTTAACGCTGACTAGTACCCTTCGTTTTTGAAAAAACACTTTTTCTACAGTAACCTAGACCAATGAACGAGAGTGTTGGCTTCTACATTCCTCTTGGTGTTGTCTCCGCTTTTTGGTTCCTTGTTGGTGTTCTGGGCCCTGTTTTTGTACCGAAAGGACCTAACAAAATGTAGAACAAATTATATTACTCACCATAAAATTTTCCAGGCTCTTGTCTGTGTCGATTGTACTTACCGCTGTCTGTTGTTATTTGTTGTAAGTTCCTTGCATTAAAACTCATGAAGTATTAGTTGGATCGGATTTTACCTTGCACAGTACCATCCTTTTTTCGGACCTTCATTAAAAACAGGATCAATAAGAATTATCCAACAGCAGTGGAAGGTAATAGTTTTGATAATTTACACAGCTATAAACGTTTTTTCTCTCGTTAGTAAAGTTGGTGACTTCGAAGATGTAATTGACAATATGGTCTTATACGGTTAAATAATTGTAGTCGCCAACAGGATTTTCTCGAGCAAATAAGTGTGTACTACTTTTTCAGCCAGTTGCCGACTGCATTTCTACCTATGATAATTCTTATACCATCTAATCGTAGTAAAGTCAGAAGTATGTCCTCACTTCTGGACTTATTTCTTCAAGCGATCTGGCTAACATCTCAGGATTTCCTGAGTTGGTTTTCAAACCCAAATAACGTTTTACAGTCATGAAAAATGTCAAACCAGTGCCTAGATTTCAGACAGATATAATGATTGATTTATAAGGTGGACTTGCGGACCACATTATCTAGATGTACTTTTCCCCCTTGATATAGCTGGTCGAAAACTGGCGCGGGGTAGACTTATTTGCTTCGTGTTGCTCTGTAAATAAACTGGTACATAAATAAGTGAGAACAACTACAGGTAGTTTTTGACTGGCATTATTTTCTTGTTATTGCTCACGGTTGTGTGTAAGGTAGATTTTCTGCTCATAGTTTGTATTTTTTTTTATAGTATGCAGTTGTTTTAGACTTGGCTATGCGAAATGTAAAGAATAACTTTCAGCACATAAAGTTTTAATTTCTGTCAGAATGAATTATTGTTTATTGTGAATTCATAAAACATGACTGGATTTATATGCATTATTTTAATGCTGTAATTCATTAATCAAATATAAACTTATGTATTTAGCTGTCAGTGATACTCATGTGAATATTAGTGACACTCTCTATCTGCCTAAATCAAAGTAGGTGGGTTTAAGTCCAAGCATTTAGTCTATTAGATGGGTACCAAATACCGGTGAAACTCTATTTTATGGGCGACCTTTGAACGTATTTTTAAGTGACCTTGAGAACATTAGCCAATCAGAAGAGAGTTAGTATAAAGTAAAAATATATTATAAAAAACTGATGAATTACAATGAATATTCTTCTTTTACATGATTTAAGAACTTGTTGAGGTTTGATAAAGGTTCGGAAGTTTTGAAATCATAGTGCATGCGGTATAAAAACTCGTCCATATGGCTCCATAGTAATCGTCCTCTGGAGCCGTGGTAGGGTCTTAAAAAATACTTCAGCCTTGACCATATGCCTTCAATATTGTTTGTATGGACACCCGTCGTTGGATCAATAAAATAACGTTTGTGCACCACAACATGATGCACAAAACCAAGTCTCGAGAGGCATCTGTACGCTTTCCAATCATCGGTATAGATCGTCGTGCCAGGTTGAACGTACTCCTTGATGATTGGTATGATTGTCGTTACCTGACGGTTTCTTACTCTTTGAAAATGTCCTTTTTGAGTTGAACGATCGTAAAACTCAAGTACCTGTCAAGCATATTCACGGAAGTGCTACTTACCCAATCTTCCTTGATAAAACGTCCTTTATTGTATTTTCGCTTTCTAACTACCGCCTCATCTATTTCCACTATCTTTCGAACTCCTCCAAATGATTCATGTACTTTTGTCATTTTCATTGCGCATATATCACGACAATATTCATACCACTGAACGGCGGAAGTTTCCGTAGCATCTGCAAAAGCCGCAGATAATGTTATTGAAGACTTTATGATCCAAGTTGCAACGATTATCATGATTTGTCTTAGACTTAGCCGTGACCGGGCAAAAAAAGTGCCAGTTCGAGCAGATTTTTTCTTCAACATATAGTCCAACGAAATAAAATGTCATCACGGTAGTCAGCACATCGTGTTGCGGTCATTTGATTGCCGCAGTCGCAAACACAGGAACTTCTAAATAGTCCCATCTGCTGTTGTCTCTCAGCAATCACCTCTTCTCTAAAATCTGCTGTAAAACGATCGAATGTGAGCATTTCGCATTGAACTTAGCGCCGTGACCTTGAAGCTCCTTAAAGGCTTCTGATTGGCTCGTCCATAAATTAGAGTCCTACCCAAATACCTTATTTACTTGACCATTTCTCTATTATTTTATTGAAGTAATATATTCCAATTCGTTTACAAAATACTTCGTCCACATATGCTTAATTATGTCCATACTGTCACATAGCTTTTCATTCGAAACGATGTATTAGCTGTCTTTACTAATACCGTTCTAAAAACTAACATTATTTTTAATAAAAAGCTAAAACTGACATGATAGAAACACTCGAGCGATTTAATGAAGTTCACCCATCCATAAAATTCACATGTGACGTAGAAAATAAAGGTAGAATAACTTCTTTAGATATTCTGCTTACAAAGAGAAAAAATGGATCACTAAAACGAAACTTAAACAAGAGAACTTCTTGGACTGATCAACGTACAAATTTTCTTAGTTTTATTCCTCTACAATATAAAAGGAACCTGATCAAGATATCGCTATATAGTTAAAACCATATGCTCCCTAGATGTGATTGGAGAGGAAGCAAAGGCATTGAGTACTACCCTACTTAAGCTTATCTTATTTGCACATATTATTATTATTATTATTATACTCTCACACTAATTTCTGATCGTCGTTGTTCTGCTCTTTTTATACACACATTGCATTCTCTATCTCTTCACAATCTTATTGTTATTGGAGGGCACACATGTATTTGGCGCCTCCCTCGTACCAATATTTGTGTTTAAATAAATAATGGTTGGAATTGACTTTAAATTACAATTCTTAAATCGCATGTTGTAATTTTATGCGATGTACTCTGCCTTAAAACTGGCCAGTGTTTTCAGATTAATAATTTGCATATCTAATTGTAGGGCCTGGAGAGAGATTATTGAAAAGAATATTCTTCGTTCATATATCTGTGTCTTAATATGATGGGAATTTCTTAGGGATTAAAATATTATGACAAATTATTATTTTTGAACAGGTCATATTTTATATTCTTCATTTAATAAAGAACGAATTCATTTGAAAATACGTGTACACTTTTATTTTGAATAATTGTCCGTACCTAAATAGTATCAGTGGAAAATATCAATGTACTGTAATAGTAACGTATCATAAAATAGTGTATAATAAATCACTGGATTGATTATTACTTCATATTCTGTTCGCTGTCTTTGTTCTTTTAGTTTAGTCGTCTTTTCGATAATAGTTTGTTTAGAGTTCTGATTAAAATTTATCACCCTTAAACTACTAATAATGTTTCTTCCCAATATTTATCTATTTCAGCACAAATAGGTTTTTAGAAGAACCTATCCCGAAAAGTGAAATTCTGTGTTACAATTCAGTTGATTGTTTACTATACTGTCAATTCCTTATCAAGTAGAAGAATGAATTATCTTTCAATTTTTTGTTACTTTTGATTCAATTCCATGGAAAAAAATTCAGAGAACTGATGTTTTTATGCTAATTTTTTTTTTCAATTTCTATTTTCTACTTTGTTTATTGATCGCCTTTTTTGTTTTTAAAATCTGATTATAAGGTTAACAATTGAATTTTTTTGATTAATAAATTTTCTGATCTATTGATTGCTAACAATAGTGATTTGTTGAAATATCTTTGTTTTTTGAATGTAATTAGATTTGCTCTGTTTGCTTTCTGAGGATAGGATTGTGTTCTGTAATCAATGTATTTTAGATATGTATGTCAGTCAGTCAGTAACAACGTAGAACTTCGTACGTACGTACATCAGTTCGAGTTGCCATACCACATTAGCACAGAGATGCAGTTGTCGATCCAAATCCCGTAGTGGTAGAGGTAGCAAGGGTGTAAGCAGTGATATGGAAGATTAGGGTTTGGAGATGTTATTTAAGGAGTATAATCCAGTGAAATAAATTTGGAAAGAGGAAAAAAAGGGACATGAATAATTCAGAAGATTAGAATTTGGGAGAACATAGAGAGTGGATGCACCTGCGCCATTGCAAACGATTTTGAGCCATGTCATTCAGGGTCTCTAACCATCGGTTGCTATCATCTCGCGGTCCCCAACCACGTAGTCTACACCTACCAACATGACCTAGTCCACTTGTCAGTGACTTCATGGATTTGTGCCATGTTTTGGTCTGGCCGCCCCTAGCTTTCTTCCAACCTACTCCTATACCACTGAATATAGCACGTCGAGGTAGTCGGTGGTTGGGCATACGTAACACGTGTCCCAGCCATCTCAACTGATGAAGTTTCACTACTTCATCAATGATTTGCCATCCTTACCTAGTACCCGTTTCCTAACAGCTGCGTTACTTACTCGGTGGTCCCAGGATATACGAGCAATACTTCGAAGACACCTATGATCAAATACTAGTAACCTACGAATATCCTCTACTCTTACCGGCCATGTTTCACTGCCGTAAAGTAGGACGGGACGAACTGCTGCGCAGTAAACACATCCTTTGGTTGGTAGACGGATATCTCGCCTACGCCATAAATGACGCAAGTTGGCAAAAGCTAGTCGAGCCTTCTGTATCCGTGCTGAGATTTCGTCACACACCAAACCACAAGGGCTGATGAGACTTCCAAGATAAGTGAAGCGGTCGACACACTCAACTACTTCACTCCCTATCACTAGTTCGGGTGTCGATGTAACCCAATCCTGAAGCAACATTTTGCATTTCGAGGGAGAGAATCGCATCCCGAACATGCTTGCATTGTTGCTTAGAGTGGTCAGAAGACTCTGCATTTTGTCAGCGTCTTCACCAAATAAAACTATGTCATCTGCATATTCTAAGTCAACAAGTGAACCTCCCAGTAGAAGTTCAACCCCCGGAAATTTAGATGAGGAGAGTGTTATCTCTAAAAGTACGTCGACCACAAAGTTGAACAAGAATGGGGAGAGTGGACAGCCCTGACGAACACCACTTGAGGTAATCAATTCTGATGACAGTTCGCCATAAGCTCTCACTCTACCAGTTGTGTTCGAGTAGAGAGCCTTTATAAGGTTTATGTACTTCTTTGGTACTCCTTTCAGTGACAAACACTGCCATAGAACCTCACGGTCAACAGAGTCGAATGCCGCCTTAAGATCGAGAAATACTACCATTGTGGGGCGTCTGAATGTGTGTCTGTGTTCTAGAACCTGACGTAGTGTGAATATTTGATCTATACAACCACGTCCAGGTCGAAAACCGGCCTGGTTTTCTCTAATCTGCTCTTCACGAGCTTTGATTAGGCGTCGAAGTATTATTGAAGCTAATATTTTAGACACTATATTAGTCAAACTGATTCCTCTATGATTGTCACAAGAGGACTTTTGTCCTTTCTTATAGACTGGCACAATCAGTGATTGAGACCAGTCAGATGGGATTACGTCCAGTTCCCAAATTCTACCTAAGACCTCGGTTAATCTCATTGCTAATACTGGACCACCATCCTTAAAAATCTCAGGAGTAAACCTGTCAGGGCCTGCTGCTCTCCCTCGTTTCAGATTTCCTATGGCTTTTTCAACTTCGTAAAGAGACGGAGGACCTACATTAACTTGCCATTCAGGTTGACTGGATATCGTGGGAAATCGAAGTGTGGCTGAAGGCCAGTTGAACTGATCCCTAAAGTGTTCTGCCCATCGATCCAATCTCCT